AACACAAAAAATGCATAAAAGAATGTACACGTACAATAGAAAAAAAAAACTTTAAGCAACAGTGGGTGTCGCTATGCCCAAAAACTTAAAAAATCAGGAAGCAAACAAGTTTAATACAGGAAAAAATTCAATGATAGGTGCAAGATAAGGAAAGAAACCACAAATCACCGGAATACAATGCTAAAAAAACAGTTGCATAACTTCCACAAATACCCATAATAATGCACCAAACTAAAACTTTTATTCAAATGCCCATAATAACTCTGTCTTAATTCTAGTCTTGAATAAAATAAAACAACTACCAAATTTAACAAACAATTAAAACACTATCTCTTTTTTCATACACACACAAAAAAGTCCAATGCACAATATCAGCTGGGGTGAAAATAAAAACAACATATCTTCATCTTCACACAACTTAAACTTTGAAATGGCAATTTCAGAGCTCAATCTGCAAATCACCAGCAACGGAAAAATGACATAACCATATTTCCTGCTAAACGTTGTTGATGAGGGAGCAAAAAAAACCCTCATAAATGAGGCTGCAAGAGATAACACATGAGAGCATGCGCAACCTCTAAACAATAGAAGGGATTGATCAAATCCCAGGACAGTCAACCCTTCACTGGGTCCAGTCACGAGACCAGCTCTGACTGTTTGCCAGTGAAGTATGACACCTTTATACAATCAGTCTGTCCCCAAAGCAAGTCTGGTTGTGACCCTTCCCTTGCTGCCGGATTAGGAGGACAGGCTTAACTAACTAACTAAATCACAACAATTTCTCTATCTATCTACCCTAAGGTCCCAAGGAAAGGGGCCTTTTTCTTACCTCTGATCCAAAGTAGATTGTAAGTGCTCAGAGAGAGTGAGCTGGTTACCTGTAGCCCAAAACCAGGAAGCGGTCAGAAATCTTCCAGCAACCGTCTCTTCATGGCCAATGCATCAAAAATGTTGTGGAAAAAAACCCAATGAAAAGAACACAAGACAGCAACACAAAACAATAATTCTTACTTTAAGATTCAGAGGTTTATTTTGCTAATAATTTGGAACATAGCAAGTATAATAATACCACATCACTTACATTAATAACCCATTGCAATCAGGTCCACTGGTATAGGAAATTCCAAAGGACAGCTATAGGCCAATGGCAAATCAATCAGGTCCAGACCCAACTCTTTATACCCTTTCTTGTTCTAAGACTGTAGTCAGATGACCCGCTGACTTTTGCTGACTTCTTAACTGACCTCCTGCTGACCTTCTGCTGAACATAATTTTCCACATATACCCGTGTACATTGGAACCCACATCCATCAGCTACTTTCAGTTCCCTATTTCTTACTGTTCCAGATTTTATATTCTAAATATATTTGAAACAAGCAAACTTAGCAAAATCATATTAAGTAAAATACGATTGCAAACTGCAAAATTAAGCATAGCACAGACTTTGGTTCAATACTTTGTCCATGAGGCCTCATTCAGTTCACCTGGGCCTAAACCTTGCATAAAAGAACAATAGCCAATATTTTCGTTTTCCACAGCACTAATTGTAAAAGCCCTGAGCTTTTCTTACTTATAGGATACACTCTGGACTTCTTACAAATAGTGCAATCTAAATATGTGTTGTGTTGCTTAATGTGTAGTCCTTCCGCTAGGTCTGGCATCCTTTGCAACACTCTAAAATTTGCATGACTTAACCTCCTGTGTAATAAATGTATGCAGTTATCATGCGTGGGAGTGTTTGTAAGTGTTCGTGCACAACCATCCTGCTTCTTTCCTAACACGTATAAGTTATCCAGCTTAACACCTTGTGCACAAATCCTCCCACCTTTCCTGATGGTGTATTGACCCTTTGCAAACAGTACTTCATATCCCATATTATCCAAGCTCAAAATAGTGAGTAAATTATGGTCTATATATTATATTATCCAATGTTTATCCAATATCAGGTACATAAACTTTACCTTCCCCTCTAACAGCAGACTGTTGTCCATTTGCCAAGCTAACAAATGTTTGTTTAGCTGGTCTTAGGTTTGAAAACATTTGTGGGTCATTTGCAATATGCTGACTCGCCCCACTGTCCAACAGCCAAGTGTTTTTTTTTAATTAATGTTGCTGCCAGGGAAAATGTCGGTTATATACTCTATGATCTTGTTTCGCTGCTCTTCTGTTTCTCCTCTCAGGGCAGCGTCTCTGTTGATGCTCTGTAGAACCACACGTGAAGCAGTGTTTCACCATGAGCTGTTCTACTGGCAACTTGCAGTTTTAGGCCTGGTCTGTGGGTTGTCCCCCCTCTCTGCTGCCTTTCCAGTCATTTCTGTTCCTCCTCCAACAACTGGCCAGTCAAATAACCCATGGTTACATCCCTCTCTTGCATGGACTCTAATATATTAGAGGATATCTCATGAAGTATCCAATGAACTGAGCACTACGTACACCTTGTGTGCCTCAGTAAAAGTTATTCCTCTTTCTTCTAACTCTATGGATGTCTTTCTCATAGACTGCAAATGAGTAGACATAGGCCTTATATAGCTTTCTTGTCAGCATTACTTTGCTGCTCACAGTCTCTCTCTCACATACACATGAGCAAAGCTTCCCAGCACTCTTTAGCAGACTGGAGACCCCTCACGTGTATCAGCTGGCCAACGCTTTCTCATTCTTTCTCTGGTCCCAATCATCCAGGGCTGCAGGTAGATCAGTAACTATCATCGACAACTCCTCCCTTCGCAGGTCTCCATTTTCAGTTACCAGGAGAGATAGTTTGTCTCATTCAGAAGAGATCCTATGAAACCTCCTCCCATTACGTTGACAGAGTCCATGTTGCCTGCTAACACACAGACCACAACAAACCACAAGCCTTAACTTCTCTGGCTCTGGGTCAAGCTCTCACTGGGTTTCTCCTCTCTCTGGGCCCATAACCTTTCAAAACATGCACAGTCTTATTGCACGAGATAACCCAGGAGTAAACACAGTAAACAGTGGTCTGTATTAAATAGTGGTTTATCTTACACTATCTACAATATCATACACCAGGAACAATATACATACATGTGCTAATACAGCAGAATCCAACATACCACAGTTACAGCAGGAAATGGAAAAAAAAGAACACATCAGCAGAGCCTTCCCTTTACACAAAGGCTCTTAAAGAGACAGGCCCTGGTGAATCATTCCCATCATTACATCTTACATCTTACATTACATAAGCTAATTAGCTGTTAAATCATTACCTTGACAGCCTATATGATCATGCTCTTCATAAAGAGTGTATGGTATTTATTTATTTCTGTAGAAATATTTTTATTTCTACAGAAGATTATATTAGGGTACATCATTCTTTTCTGTCACTTCTTTTTATCCTTACATCAATCCTGTTTAATATATTAGATTGAGAAAAAAATGTTTGGTTCCAAATCTCTCAGTTAACTTCATGGCTAAATGGAGATTTCAACTTGGATTTTCTTGGTTCAAGCCCAGCTTCCATTTATAGCTGGAAAGAGCTAATTGTGCTCTAGTTTGATATCTCCTCTTTCTTTAGGGATGCTCAAATTCTTTCCAAAGAGTTGGTAACTCTCATTCAGATATTCAGGGAATGGACCTGTAAATAGTTTATCCATTTTAAAATGTTTAACTTAATTTCATTAAGCAGTGAACTTGTGCCAACATGGCAGGTGCTATTTGGATTGTCTAGTGTGCCATATTAGCATAAACATATGACCAGCTCTAAATAAACACAAGCAAAAGACTAGAGAAAATGTCAAGTACTTATGTCAAAAAGATTGGGGTATTTTTAAGACATATCAACTGACTGTAAGACTCATTTCTAATTTAGGGCAGGAATCATGTATGACTTCACACAATGATTCAGAGCGTATAAATTTTATTGAATTAGCTCTTGACTATTAAGACGATAGTGGAATGAAGCACTGCACAAATCTTGCAGCAGACTGAAGAGTTTATTTAAATCTGAAACTAAACCTAACTTCCTTTTTCCGGGGATTAAATCTTTGGGGGGGGGGGTAAATAAGTATCAATGTTGAATATAAAAGAGTACCTACTAGCAAATATTTGTGGAATCACAAATATATTCCACCCCAAACCCTGAAAGCCATTTTGCAGAGAAAACATTTCTAGCTTCTGAGGATTTTATCTTAAAAATATTATAGTAGACAGGTAGCCCTCTTAAAGAGTTAGCATTTGATAGCTAATTCTGGGTTCAATTAATAAGCTACCGTGTTTTCCTGAAAATAAGACCTGGTCTTATTTTTATTTTATTTTTTTTGCCTCCAAAAGAGGCACCAGGTCTTTTCCAGGATCTCACTTTGCGGCAGTGTCACCGATAGCCCCACCCAACTGGCCGACTTCTCCTGTGGCTGCTTTCCGTGCTCATGTGCGACACCCTCCCGGCCTGCATTCTGCCATCAGAGACCTTCTGGAAAGGCCTCTGCAGCTGAGAATCAAGCTATAGATTCAATTTGTAGCTCAGTCTCGGCTGCAAAGGCCTTCTGGCCATTCTCAGCTGCAGACACATTTCCTGAGGGCTTCTGATGGCGAAATGGAGGCAGGAGGTGATGCGCGTGAATGGTGGCGAATGGCTGCAGAAGAAGTGGGCTGGTGAGGCAGAGCAGGAGTCAATTCATGAGAGACCTGGCTGCAATGGTAAACAGGTGGAGGGTTCATGGAGCAGCTCTAATTCCCACCTCCATTCTAGCTTGATTCTTAGGCATGTACCTTGCCCCCAAACTGGGGCTTATTTTTGAAATAGGGCTTATATTAGGCCCTCCCCCCAAGACCAAGCTAGGGCTTATTTTCGGGGTAGGTTTTACTTTTGGGGAAATACAGTATATGTCCCTCATGAAAAAGTTAAAAACTAGAAAAAAATCTGGTTCACAGCTCAACGTTTGTAATCACCCTGCTGTGATTTCCTTTAAAAACTTTAACACTGTGTTCTCTATATACGGTATACATTTGATTTTATTTGGTTCTCTTTTTTTTCCCCACAGTCAGACTGGTTTTTCAGTGATAAGGAAGAAAAAGGTGAAAAGGTAAGTAGCTAAGAAGGAAGCAGTGCTCAGTTTATAGCTGAATGCTGATTTCTCAGGACGTAGAGAAATGCCAAAAAAGAAATGTTTCTTATTCGTGACATATAGGTACTTTCTTTTGAACTCTGTGTGTTGTTGAGAATCTGTTAATAAAGGAAGACAAAGATTGTAACTACTTTTACAGAGGAAGCAGTCCTTAAGGACAATTATGTCTCTCAAATTGTCTTTTTTCTCTAACTCTCTGCAAACACTTGGACTGACACAGATACACATATATGTATCTGTGTATTATGTCTTCAAGTCAAACTATCTTTGCAGGATGCTGTCTACATCCTTATGTACCTGCAGAGGAGCCATCCTCTAATGTTTATCTATCTTTTACATTGCCTTAGTCATATATTATCATTTCAGAAGTTATTTGTGCTGCTAAATTGTCCCTTGGGCTACTTCTGAATACAGATTTAGCATTCTTCTGAAGGATGCTAAACATATCTCCAAAAACACAACCTAACTGATTATATTCCTTCTTTGCTCCATCAACCTGTCAATTGGGCTATTTTGGTTTATGAGTTTATCATTATTAGATCTTTATCTCATTCTTTTTTAAAAAAAAAAAAAGGTCAGCTCAGGACAACTAATATACCTCTGTCTCCAATTTTCCCTCCAACAACAGCCCAGTGAGGTGCTAAGACAGAGCAACTGGTCAAAGTTATCCAGCCAGCCTGAATTACTTTCATGCCTAAGCGAGGTCCAGCACTTACAGTCTCCTAGTTTCTAGGCCAGCACCTTCACCAGTACAACTAACTGGCTCTCAGTTCAGCAGTTTTTTGGAAGATTGTTAGATCTGTTTCAGAAAAGTCTTGAGAAATAGATCACCAGCATGCTAGAAATGTTTCATAGAGCATTAGATGACATTATTTCAGCTGCACCTTGTGGTCCTCAACTATGCTTATCGTGCCTCAGTGGTCAATTTTACCACAGCTCCCATGTATTAATATTTGTTTATGTTAATGCTGGCAGCAAGTGGCCATACCTGACAGGACCCCGAAAAAGCCCATGGAATATAAAAGGACATGTATGTGTTACTATGGCCCTCATGCCAAACTAATTGAAACAGTAAAGAAATTGTCCACACAAACCCCCTTTATATTGGAAGAAGTTTAAACCTATAATTTGCTCAATATTCACAGGATGAAGAATACAGAATTTGTCCCTCTTTTCCATTTTAAATCAACATATAGTTTAAATCTCTTTTTCTTCTAAGTATATGTGTATCCATTTCACAGACCCCTATAGATGAACAAGAGGCCCAATCAATGCCAAATATTGAGTACCTTCTGCCCAACATTGGAAGAACAGCAGCATCAGGGGATGCTTCAGGTAAGCAAACTGAGAGCTTTGATTGGGTGAGATCTCCTGGACATGAAAATCCCCCAGGACAAGATTTCCCATAGATGTTCTACTCTTATTCTCCTTTTTAATCAAATATGCAGGTCCAACAATTCCCCATGAATATATCTTTACTGCACAGATGTTATATTAATTCAGTGTTTCTTAAGCTTGGCAACTTTAAGATGTATGGATTGCAATTCTCAGAATTTTCCAGCCAGCTGTGGATTAATCTGAGCCAAATGTATAAAAAAGAGATAGTCTGGCAGTATCTGAAACATTGGACTGGAGAGAGTTTCATGAAGGCAACAACTAGGAGTGCCTCCTTTCCATGCTTCTTCTGGTGCTTTGCCAGTTGCATTGTTAGCAGCAAAAGGCATGTTGTGATCTCCCCAGATCTTCTACTTTAATAATGTGATCCTTAGAATTTAGGCATACATGGCCGTTTCATTCCAGTTTATAGCTGTGCCAGTGGTGAAGTAGCATTTGCATTACTAGAAGAAAACCAACATTTAGAGTTAGATCTCTTGTATTCCATCTATAGTTGCTAATGCTGATGAGCATATTTCTGATTAAGAGTGTGATGTTTTTGTGCTCTACTAGTTATAGCTGCCTTTAACTTTTCTGCTGTCTTTCTTCTCTTTTCTCTCTTTATCTTGTGTCTCCTCCTCCTCCTTCCAACTCCAGCGGATCTGCCGGAGCTCTAGAGCTGGTACAGTGTGGTTGTGCTCTGATGTTCATGCACTAATTCCATTGGGTGATTATGAGAGACGGGGAAAGGCATAACTTTAGATTTTAGCTCCTTATTGGATTTTTTATGTTGACTTGAAAGAACACCAGTGGCATTTGCCAAAGTGTAAAGACTAGGGTATGGTTTTGCCTTCCAATTATTTTCCTTCCTGTTTAAAATCAGGGAGCTTCTTAAAGTCAACCAGTAGAAATTTCCATTTCAAGCAGCTGGATAGGAAAGTGTGATAATGGAGATCTCAATCAATTTTAAACAAATGTTTATGACTATTTCTAAGTATTTTTTTTTTGTTGTTGGGGGAGCAGGCCATGTAACTCCTTGATCTACTGAATTTGCCACTATACATTTTTTTTTACCATTTGTAATCCTTTATTTTCCCACTATTTTTAAAATCTTTTTTTTAAATCACTGTACATAGGTTGGGAAGAATAAAAAAGTTAATTCTTTTCTTTGGCAGCTTTAGTAACATATAACCCATATGCCTAGTGCCTTAGCATTGGTATATTATTGTGTCACAGAGTACTTTTACATTTTTATTAGATAATTTTCTTATTTTCAGTTTATATTTTCTCTTTTTTTCCTTTTATTATATTATAAATAACTTGAGTAGTAAAGCATTAAAATATATATGTTATTTTTAAAAAACAAGAACTAAATGTGATTATATTAAATATATTTACAGTTACATTTTGAAGCTGCAATATAATACTCACTAACCAGGAATAAACTGTCACTTAGGTTTATTACTTAATCAGTAGATATTAAATTATAAGAAAAACTGAGCACTGTAAAGTAAAATAATCACAATCATAAATTTTAAAAGTTTTCAGTAAAGTTTGTTTGGATAAATCCTTATTATCGGCAAAAGGACATTCTTCACCCAGCCTTCTTGTCTGACTAATTTAATTTTCAAACTGAGATTTCAGTTTTGAGTTTGATGTACAGTTTGATGAAGAGTCCTATGTGGCATTAAAGCCTGTAGTATATTTTGCCACCCACAAATATCAAAACTCAAGTAAAGCTTTTATCTAAAAGTGTGATGCCATTTCCTTCAGAGACAGTACTTCTTTAAGCTCTGGGTGTTGAGTCAGTGTGATTGTTTTGCCTTTTCTCTCTCTTGTGATTGCCAGCCACTAATTCCACCTGAATGTTGCGGTCAAACCTGCAATAGAGTAGGCCTTGTGGGGACATCCATTAATTTGTCCATTGGTTTCATTGTTGCTGACATTGCTGTGGCAAATATATGTTTGTACTTGTGTGGGGGAGGCTTGTTCAGAAAAGTTTATTCAAACCACCTGCTTGATGATGTGCTTATTTTATGAGAAGACCATGGTTAATTCTTATACATTTCTTGTGGTTCCTTCAATTGGGACAGGAACCACTATTGTTGCCTAAAAGCCCTTTTTCAAATTGATTTTTGAAAGAACCGTAAGGGAAAGGTAATTTAGTGACTAATGTCACTGAAAGGGCCAGAACAGAATTTTAAAATTCTTTTTCATTTATAGGGAGGGTGGTTTGATTTTTTTTTTTAAAGCTCATTGGAGCTTAACATACCTGTCTTATTTTTTGATTTGTGAAAACCATGAGAAATTGTGCCAGTGATACTCAGCAGCTCACTATCATGATATGGTGGTTTGAAGGCTGCAAAGAATAGGGTGATTGCAAGGCTGTTTATTTCTGACAAGGGCTAAATGTCACTTTAGTTTGACAGCTTCTTCTCCCCATCCTCCCCACACCTTGCATTTGTCCCTTAATTGCTTTCTTTGGTTGTCTGGCTTGGCTGTTGACAGTGGTTAAAATGAACAGCATAGGAGACTACCTGGTATGACTATGTTGGCATTGGGCAGTTGCTACTCTGTTCCCAATTCCCAGTGTCTATTAATAATTATCTTTAGGAGGGCTCCCTGAAGCAACTTAACTTGCCAGAGGAAGTAGTTTCTTCAAATTCTCTCTCCTATCTGCATATGGTTGTATGAAATGCAAGCTGTAGAATTTGCACAATGACAGCTAGCCCCAAAGACTTAGAGAGCCTCCTAAGATATGAATACTTAAAATAATCTTAAGTCTTCTTAAAAGGCTATTATAATGCTTGCTGTTCTTTTGATTTGCCTGATCTTTGTGGGTTATTGTTTTGTAAATATATGCATGTATTATTAATGCTCCGAAATTATTTAAGGCAATATTAAAATTGTATATATAAACTCACTCAACCCCTCTGTGCCCCTCTGTGAGGGAGATGGGTGGTTAATAAGTTTGACTGATAAATAAATGAATGAAACCTGCACACTCTAAAACTCCACACAGATGATGATGATGATAATGATGATGATTGAAAAGAATCCTCTACTTATTTGCTACATCTTTTTTGGCAAGGGATTTAAAGAGGAGCCTTCCAAGGTGATCTGAAAGTACAGATAAAAATCTTGGACTTGAGCATTGGTAACACTAAAGCAGCTATATCTCTAAGGACATTTCTTGTATATCCTTGGGAACTCTGAAACCATTCAAAATGTCACATTAGTATCTCACATCAGAATACCAAAATCTCATGATATTTCAGTTTTGTGGGAATTTAGGACAGATTCCATAGTGAGCCCTGAATGTTAACTACAAAGGGATAGCAAAGTATTGCTGTGATGTGAAGAACTTCTAGATTGAGTTAACAGCCCCATAGTGTCAATGTGAATATCTGGACCCTTTGCAAAAATAACCTCACATGCAACACATTGCAATAATCCCAAAAGAAAGGGTGTCAGTTGAAGTATCTTTAACGGTTTAAGCATTATCCCTTGGAAAAGTTTTTGAGTTATAACCTAGCCCCATTAAGTCTTACTTCAATTGTGCTAAGTAATTAATATCTCTAATCTCACAATCTCCTTTGGAAGTTATATCGGTTTCTCCTCCTCTTTCTCCTCTTCCTCCATCTCTTTGGGGAAAGTGGTAGAGATGAGAGATTAAAATAATTGAAATAATTAAGCTCTTCTCCACAGGTCCATGGAAAATGTGCTACAGTGTCTCTAAATATTTCAGGCTATATTTATAATTCAGCCAAACTGAGTCAGGAATTATGCATCTCCAGCATGAGTGTTGCTCTTCGAGATGAAATATTGACACTTTTAATAGAATGAGTTGTGTGCCTGTTTCTGAGTGAATGCATATGTGTATGCAAATACGTATATAAATCATGTGTGTATATATATATATATATATATATATATATATATATATATATATATATATATATATATATTCCTTTATAGCTAATTTGAGGCTTCCATTGTTTAGGTTCCTACAGGAGATTGGTAATGATGACTGGTGATAGGTCTCCCACTGATACTCATTGTTTGTGCTTTCTACACTATATTTCATTGTCACTGTTTACAAATGCATTGATCATTTCCATTGCAGAAAGTGTTATCCTGGGCTGCTTCTCTTTTGTTTGGTCATCTACAACTGCATCATTTTGTTGAGCATTTCAAAAATGAAATGAAATGCATTTCTTGATTAAATTCAGAACACTCTCTGGTATATTTCTGATCATTTTGGAGAGCTTCCTTTCCCATAACTATTTAATAAAAAGTAATCAAATATCTGAGAAGAAAGATTTGCTTTCATGAAAGATTAACTGACTTTGGAATACCTATTTGTGTACTTTGTTTACTTCCCAAATTGGGGGTGTCCCCCTACAGGGTATCCCAAAATACTGTAGCCCTGAATATGTAATTGGTGACTGAATTATTAAAACAACAAAGGGAGCTGTGCCAATCTAAAACTTGGGGTTATAAATCCTTGCCTACATCATGATGTAGATTCCTGTTTTAGTGCATGTGAGGCCCCTGTCATACCTGTATTTATTTTCTGTGACCAGCACCATGAAGAGGCAGAAAGCAGCATAGGAATTTGATATTTTACAACTGTTCACTCCATTTTTCATGTTAGTTTTTTAACTGGAAAATCAGTGGACAAAGTGCTTATTTGCCCTTGTTTATCTTTTGATTGCATGCCATTATATCAAATCTTAGCGATCATATAGATTTTCTTCAGGATCACTTGTCTTTCCAATCATTAAGCCCCTCAACTTGTTATTCTTGCACAGTTCTATCTTTAACTCTTCTCTTTTTGTGTATTAATCCCTGCAGATTCAACTAATAGTGGATCAACGAAATCAAAGGTAAGATCCCCTCAGATTATTTTTGCCTTTGAGAGAGGTTGGGGATGAGAAAAGTTGGTTAAACATAAGGCCCTTAAATTCAGACTTCCCACGTTAGAGGTAAAGTGTTTGTGCTACTTTGGCACTTGGCATGTCTCGATTTAAATTGTTTTAAAAAATAACAACCCTGTAGACACTCAAGCATGATAATTTTGTTGCCTAAATGGCCACGGCCTAGTTTTTCTGGTGTTGTGATACTTTGCCGGCAGCTGTGATTGGCCTTTTCAGAGAGTGCTGCTTTGTAGTAATAATAATAATAACAACAACAATAATAATAATAATAGTAGTAGTAGTAGTAGTAGTAGTAGTAGTAGTAGTAGTAAAGTTGGAAGGGACCTTGGAGGTCATCTAGTCCAACCCCCTGCTCAGGCAGGAAACCCTATACCATTTTGGACAAATGGCTATCCAGTCTTTTCTTAAAAACTTCCAGTGTTGGAGTATTCACCGCTTCTGGAGGCAGGTTGTTCCACTGGTTAATTGTTCTAACTGTCAAGAAGTTTCTCCTTAGTTCTGGGTTGCTTCTCTCCTTGCTTAGTTTCCATCCGTTGCTTCTTGTCCTGCCTTCAGGCGCTTTGGAAAATAGCTTGACACCCTCTTCTTTGTGGCAGCCCCTGAGATATTGGAACACTGCTATCATGTCCCCCTCTCGTCCTTCTCTTCATTAAACTAGACATACCCAATTCCAGCAGCCGTTCCTTATATGCTTTAGCCTCCAGTCCCCCAATTATCTTTGTTGCTCTTCTCTGTACCCTTTCTAGAGTCTCAACATCTTTTTTACATCATGGTGACCAAAACTGGATGCAGTATTCCAAGTGTGGCCTTACCAAGGCATTGTAAAGTGGTATTAACACTTCATGTGATCTTGATTCTATCCCTCTATTAATGCAGCCTAGCACTGTGTTGGCCTTTTTGGCAGCTGCAGCATACTGCTGGCTCATATTTAGGTGATTGTCCACTAGGACTCCGAGGTCCCTCTCACAGTTACTACTATTGAGCAAGGTACTTCCTATACTATAGCTGTGCATTTGGTTTTTCTTGCCTAAATATAGAACCTTACTTTTTTCACCATTGAATTTCATTTTGTTAGATAGCGCCCAGTGTTCAAGTCTGTCCAGATCCTCCTGTATCCTAAGCCTGTCTTCTGGAGTGTTGGCTATTCCTGCCAGCTTGGTGTCGTCTGCAAATTTGATGAGTTCCCCATCTATCCCTTCGTCCAAATCATTGATGAAGATGTTGAAGAGCACTGGGCCCAGAACAAAGCCCTGGGGCACCCCACTACACACTTCCCTCCGTGTAGATGCGGTTCCATTGAGGACCACACGCTGAGTATGGCCGGTCAGCCAGCTACGAATCCATCTGGTGGTGGTGCTGTCTACCCCACATTTTTCTATCTTGCCTTACTGAAGTCCAAGTAAATTATGTCCACAGTATTCCTCTGATCCACTAATTTTGTCACTTGGTCAAAGAATGCAATAAGATTTGTCTGGCATGATCTATTTTTGACAAACCCATGTTGGCTTTTAGTAATGACTTTGTTTGCCTCTAGGTGTTCACTGATTTGTTGTTTGATTATCTTTTCCAGGATCTACCCAGGTATTGAGGTCAGGCTGATAGGTCTGTAATTTCCTGGCTCCATTTTTTTTCCTTTTTTGTAGATGGGAACTACATCAGCTCTTTTCCAGTCCTCTGGTAGTTCCCCTGTGCTGCAGGATCTTTGAAAAATATGGTTCAGTGGTTCTGAGATCACATCTGTCAGTTCCTTGAGAACCTTGGGGTGTAATTCATCTGGTCCTGGCGATTTGAACTTGTCTAGGCTGCACAGGTGCTCACTTACCATTTTCTTGCCTATCTTAACTTGTGTTTCTATTCTGTTTTTTATGGCACTATTTTTGATAGGTTGATCTGTTTTTTCCCTTTGTGTAAAGACAGATGCAAAAAACGAGTTAAATAGTTCTGTTTTCTCCCTGTTGCTTGTCACCTTCTTGCTACTTTCACCCACTAATGAACCAATCATTTCCTTCACTTTTTTCTTGTTTTTTACATGTTGACAGAAGTTTTTTTTTTTGTTATTTTTGACTTTGGTCGCAAGCCTTAGTTCATTTTGAGCCTTGGCTTTCCTCACTTCATCTTTGGAGGCTCGGGCTATTTGCTGATATTCTGACTTAGTTATGTGCCACTTTTTCCATTTTCTATACTTGTCCTTTTTATCTTTCAATTTGTCAGAGAATTCTTTATGCAGCCATGCTGGTTTCTTTTGGGAGCTGTTATTTTTCCTCTTTGTTGGTATTGTGCTAGACTGGGCCTTTGTTATCTCATTTTTCAAAATTTCCCAAGCTTCTTGAGTTGTTTTCCTCTTGAGGATTCTCATCCATGGAATCCTTCCCAAGCCCTCTCTAAATTTATTGAAATTAGCTCTCTTGAAGTCCAAGACTCTAGTTTGACTGTGTTCTATTGCTTGTGGTTCCATAATGTTAAATTCCAATTTTGCATGATCACTTCCTCCCAGGGTTCCTATGGCTTCAACACCTTCTATCATTTCATCTCTGTTAGTGAGAATTAGATCCAAAAAGGCTAATCCCCTAGTTCCCTTCTCTACTTTTTGGGAGACAAAGTTGTCTGCTAGGTTTGCCAGGAACCTGTTTGATTTTCCACTTGGTGCAGAGTTTGTCTCCCAGTTGATGTCAGGGTAGTTAAAGTCCCCCATTACTATTGTGATGTGCTTCCTATATACCTTAGTTAGCTGGCTAGCAAAAAGTTCATCTAATGTACTTCTCAGCAGCTTGCAGGCAACTGAGTTGTACTCCAGTATACAGACACAACTTATCCTTTTCTTTCTTGCCTTAAACTAAGTATAAGATTATTCCACATCTTCTCCCATGCGTCTTTTCTTTTTTCTACCTTTTCTGGTTGGTTTTCTACAAATATAGAGCAATGAATACACTGTTCCAAAACATTGTAGCCCCCCCCCAAAAGGACTGGAAGCTGGAAATTAGTTCCATAGTGTACATAGTGCATTTAATTAAAAAGAAGAAAAAAGTTGGACAGAAAGAATCTCTGAGAACCTTTAGGTCAGTGATGGCGAATGTTTTAGAGACTGAGTGCCCAAACTGCAACCTAAAACCCACTTATGCATCATTGGGTGCCAGGTGGGTGTGGCCCATTGGGTGGGTGTGGCCCATTGGGTGGGCATGGCTGTGGTGGTAACAGCAGACTGGGTGGGACTAAAGAGTTCAATCAATCAATTCCAACTTTGCAAGATCTTTTTTTTCCCCGCAAAAAGTTGAAATTGACTGATTGATTGAACCTTTTTTTTTTTGTCCACGGTGGTGGAGGTCTAAAGCGAAAAGGTTTTATAAAACCCAGCTGAAGGCCTAGGACTGGGGTGACAGCCCGTCTGCCCACAAAGAGGGCTCTTGAGTGCCGCCTGTGGCACCCGTGCCATAGGTTCGCTACCACTCTTTAGGGAGAATATCTGCAGATCTTTTAGTGCATTTGGGGGATCCTAAAATCTAACTGCTCTAGCTACAAATATGTTTTCCAAAACTGGGAAAAACAAAATATGCTGATGCGATTGCTAATCTATATTGCTAATATATGTTAAGGATTCTGTGGGGTAAGACATTACTATCCAGGGCAACCCATCTCATAGGCAATGTCACTGGATATTTTTCTGGTATCTGCTCTTTAGCCCCTCTAAAATACTGTGTTTTCCTTTTGCTCCAGGTTTCATGTGGCTCACGGAAAGAGCACTACCATAAAGAGATGCTTGCCATCTCCTTCATCTCAGCTGTCAACCGCAAGAGGAAGAAGCGGAGAGAGGCCAAGCGTTTTGGGAGCAGCACAGATGATGATTCTGAGCATGAGTCAGCTGTCAAGAGAGAGGAGGAGGAGGAGAAAGAAGTGGCTCAGGAGGAAGAAAGAGAGGCTGAAAGATTTGAGAGCAGCAGCAGAGCTCCAGTTCCTGATGTGCAGGATGTCTTCCAAAGCCAGGCAAAACTAGAAGCAGAGCAAGTAGAAAGAAAAGTGGCACCCCGAGGAAGCCCAGAGTTGGCCCTGGATGCCCGCTCAATTGTATCAGGTTATTCCACCCTATCTACCATTGATCGCAGCCTATGCTCTGAGGTGCAGTCAGTAGCAGAGAGCCGTGGGGAGGAGGCAGATGATGAACGGAGTGAATTTAGCCATGTGGAGACAGATACTGAGAATAGCTTTGTGCCAAAGCAGCCTGGGATGCTTCCCAAAGGAGCTGGTGTGGCAATAGTGGAGGAAGGGGGGGCTGCTGCATCTGAAAAGATATCACACAACCGAACCTCCTTTAGTTCCCATCACCTCATGCAGTGTGACACTCTGGCCCGGCGCAAGCTTTTGCGGCCCCGACACAATAGTGAGTCATCTTCCAAGGGTAGCACTGATGTCCCAAGTTCCAGCTCCCCAGGTAGTCAAGAGTCCCTACAGCCTGTGGGTGCCCCTGAGGTCCATACCCGGCTTTCCCTCACAGAACAACTTCGACTCCGCCTCCGTGGCTCTGCAGATGACATGCTGGCAGTGCGCCTGCGAAAGCCACACTCACCTGAGACACGGCGCAAGAAGAACAGTTGGCGGCGCCATACTGTGGTGGTCCCTGGTGGTCTCAAAGACCTCAATTATGAGTGGAAGGAACAACATGTATTGGGGACTACTGAGGCTGGTCCACTAGACTCCTCGAATAGAGGTGCGCTAAGGGACAACAAAGACTCTGGGCTTAGCAGCCTAGAGTCAACCAAAGCTCGGTCTTCCTCAATCACACCAGGGAACATGGCAGTTCTTAACCAGCAGAGTGAGCCACAGCATCGTAAAGGCAGCTCTGAGGGGCGTTCAGCTCCCCGACGTACAGCCTCTTTACGTTTCCACCAATGTCTTTAGATAGCCTTTCGTTGAAGCTCTTGTAGAATGGATGAAAGGAAAACTTGGTTTGCCCATAGTAATAACCTTGTCTTAGAATGGAGGAGGGTGCTCATAGGTGCAGTCACACTTGAAAGTTCCTAGTACTGGCCTTACTTTGTCTTTTTTGATACCTCGATCTGCCGTGGAGCATGAGACTCTCCTCCTACCTACTCCATACCTAGCTTTGCTTTCTAATTCCCCCTGATATTAATTTAATCACACCAAGGTTTTGTGATTTATGAATTTATTTATTCTCATCTTTCCTTATCTCCAGGATGGCAGTCAAAAACAAAACAAAAAGCTGAGGTAGGTCTGATATAAGGAGGGTCACTCATTCAGCCCATAGAAAGATCTTGATTTGGAATTGACCAGAATTATCCAGTGGATAGGATAAGTAGCTTCATCCCTGATTTAAAATACTAGGTCTGCAATTAAGGGATGTTTTTAGAATTCCTCCAGTTAATTATCTCTTAACTATCTCCTAATTTTCACCAGTCCATGGTACTTCTTTTCTGTATTTATCTGAAAGAGGGCTTGGAACTGGGCAAATCAGATCAGAAATATTCATGAATTGAGCCCACTTCCATTTAATCTCTGCTGTGGGTTCACATGTACATGATGGATTCCTCTCTATTCAAAGTTCCTCTCACTGTTATCTAAGTGGCAGTTGATGATGTTGGGAGGTTTTGAATGTTCCCCTAAAAATACCCATTACTCCTTTTCTACCTTTCCTCTAGAAAAGCAAATTCCCAAATCTTCCATCTATCATGCCTTGGCCTTTGTCAGGTTCCTTCAGGGAGGGCTGTATCATCTTGACTTCTAGCACATGCATCAAAATTTTGTAGATATAAACAAACTCAGGATTATGTATGGTATAGTCTCAGCGTGCACTTGAGACTGTTTCATGTGAAAACTGCAGAGCTATAATGGTCCCCAAAAGGTGCATAATCTGTCAAATTTAAAGGGCACTGCTGTTCTCCTCCTCCTACTAAAGTGATGTCATTTCTAATTCCCAAAAGTCACAAAAAGATCTATAACATCAGACTATCTGATATATTGCAGCTTTGGCTTTGAAAGCTTTGGCTGCAGTAAATCTGCTGGTATTTAATAGCATCTCAAAATGCTTTGGTTTTGTTGCAAGATTAACATGATATATATGTATAAACTGATGATATGAATTCTAAATGATACAGAACTAAATGGTACAACTCAGTGTGCCTTTAAGAATATAGTCCAATTTTTGCTTGGCTGATCTAAGATTTTCCTGTAAGTCTTAGCTACGGATGCAAACTTTTTCCAGATTGATTTTTCCTTTCAGGCTGTGACAGTATCCCCATTTGAATAGCACTCTCTGCTCCTATCCTCTCATAACGGATAGTACAGTCCAGGGGAAACAGGATGTGATTAACACCCAATAACACAATACTATATGCAGAATTCATGAAGGCAGTATTTTAGGGAGAAAATTAGTTTATGCAAATGATAATTGTGTGGAGTGAATCACCTGCTAAGGTGGCATATGTGTACTATGTTTTAGTTAACAATGCTTTTCCATGTAACTGCCTGTGTTTAGTGGGGAAAGAATGAGTACAGGCGCTATGTGATTTTGGGGTTTGGGAAAAGAGCAAGAAGAAATAGCGGACAAATACACCAGGGCCCTGTGCAGAAGTGCCAAAAAGCAGTCTCAGTGATTTTTTAAAAATTTCTTTTAGGATTTCCAAAGCGTAAGTTGACATGATTCCATTCAAGCCTGTTATGATGAAGGGCTGATGTCAAGTCCGTGCCATCTTCTGCTTTACTGGTATCTTCCACAACTCACTGTCTCTCACAAAAGAGCAATATTTGATTTTTCATGGTGCTACATTTATTTTCAACAATGTCTTTCTCTTAGTTTTCTCAATATACTACATGGAAGTAAACCAAGGAGCCATTTTATTACATGTTGCAGATCAAGTAGGGTTTCCATTTTGCTATTCCTTCAAAATGAGAGACTTACATTTGTTTCTATCTTGTGGATATAAATGATTCCCATGCCTTATGTCTCTGTAGAATTTTATTTGGTCATAAAAGCAGGAAGTACTTTTGTGATGAATAAATATGAGAGATGATCTTTTAAGATACATGTTTTGGTGTGTAATAGTTAATACTTCACCCCTTGTGCCTCAAAATAAAATTGTTACCCCTTTGGAAATAGTTGCATAACCCTTAAGAAAAAAAAGGTTGCTGTGAAATAACTTTTTCCACTTTCCTATCAAGACTCTTTTAATACTTGCTTATATTTTAACTGAAAAAGAAAATGAAAAAGGCAGTTTTGTGGGAACCCAAATCAAAATCTTGATATTCTTGAAATTCAGTGGGTATTGCAGAGCAAACTGCTGTGTATAGCATAGTCTACATCAAAAGTACTTTCTCCTCCTTGCAAAAAATAATAATAGAAAAAATGGCAAATTTCTCTTAAATTTCAGTATTTGCAGATACATTCCAAAATCATTATCACTGAATGAAAAGAAAATATCATTTTCATGGAAATAACTGTCTTATTACAGGTTGTGTTGTTTTGTTTATGTACCATATTCCAAGTATTACATTCCTGTTGTAACACCAAATATAAGACTTATATCTTAAATTTTTATTATTACCTTCTGATGACTCAAGGCCTCAACACATCCCATCCCTGCCTCAAACTATCATCTTATGAACCTCCTATATAATAGGTTGGATAGTCAGACTGTAGTTCATGTCAGATTTCCTTTCCAGCCTTTTTCTTCAGCAGGAAACAGCATTGAGACCGTGTGCTGTACTTCAAATGATACTTTCACTGCTTCCTTCATTCATTGAATTGATCAAGGCTTCCTTAATACATCCAGGCTTAAAAAATCAATGAATATATTAGTATGGCACACCAGTTTAAGTGCTGCATTTAATATTAGCAAGACCAGCATTGAAATCTATCCTTAATCAAGGAGATCTTGTCCCTTGCCTGTTCTTGTTGTGTATAATGTCAAACTAATATACAACAAGAACAGGCAAGGGACAGGATCTCTTTGGTAAAAGGATTTCAATGCTGGTCTTGCTAATATTAAATGCAGCACTTAAATTGATATGCCACACTGGTTATAGACATGGTGTAATACATTTTTCACTATAGTCTGGCTAGCTCATTCTACGATGTCTGTGGTTTAATGACAGATGGCTATTTTTTGTAGGAAGGGTTAGCTGTAGGTACATTTTTTGTGCAGATGTCATCATGAAAAAATGCTTTGTATCTGGACTTTTTAAGAATAATGTGTATTAAAGTTGATGGTTCCTCTCTGCCAGCATCAATTCACAAGAACACTAGGCACTAAATGTCATACTTTGACCTAATGTCATCTTATCGTCCCTGCAGAGTTGGTTGCAATGTTACATTTTCAGGAAGTAAGTGTCACCACAGATGCAGCAGTGGGGCCAAAACAGAATGACAATGAATGGGAGCTTGCCAGCTTGATAATTATTCCAAGTATTTTATCTTTAAGGGGGGGGGGAGAGAAACAATTTATGTTTTGGTGTAAAAATGAGGTCCTATATAGACAGCACGGACAAGATTCTATTGGTTACTGATTCTTCATTTGTGTGTACAGTTGCAAAGACAAAGATAGTACTCATTCTGTAACATCCTAACCAAGAACAGAACAGGCCTCTCAAACCTGTTTTCATTTTCATTGCGAAATGAGTGGATCAGGAGTATTGTCTGGAAGCACCCCTTGATTTAGCTAGTTTTGTGACTTGGTAATTGAACAGGCAAAACAATTTTAAAATACACTGTAGCATCTGTACTGAACTTTTAAACATTTGAAGCATTCTTATTGAACTGTCACAACCATCTTTATAAATTACCTGATAGAATTTGCAATGATTATAAAGAGATGCAAAACAATTTCACATGAAGTTAAGACAACCTGTGGCCTCTTGATCCGTGCAGTCTTTTGTATTTCTTCCCCTACTTCAATATTTAACAATATGCCATTCCTATATATGTCTCAGTCTAATGCTAACAATAATAGCCTGTAAGACAGTGTTTCTCAAACTTGACAATTTTAAGGCATGTGGACTGCAACTCCCAGAATTCCATAGCCAGCATTGCTGGCTATGGAATTCTGGGAGTTGAAGTCCACATGCCTTAAAATTGTCAAGGTTGAGAAACACTGCTGTAAGAGTAGAGCTTCACTCTTGGGAAGAGGTAGGCAAGTGACTGGTGCTTTGTATGGCCTCAGCCCACTCACCCCTTAAAAACTTGCAGCATATTGTAACCAGAGGAGTCATAGGGGGATGTCAAAAAGTCAAGATGGTTTGTGTGATTGTACAATTGAAGCTGTGTGTCACATGATGAAAAAGAGGCAGGTACGACATTTCCCTCATACGATCTTGATTTTTTGAACAATCCCTGCTGGTGGATACTCTTGATTATCTTCTGGGTTTGTTATTTATCAGTAATGACTCAGTGTCTGTCTGTGTGAATTTTTTAAAAACACATTTTGCAATCATTCTTAAGGGTTCATTGTCTCACTGCCCATCTAGGTGTGAAAAAGCATCCCTTTTGCTCACAACTGGATTCTCCCTTCCAGACAAAATCCATCAGATTGAGACTACCCAGTTCCATGTGAAGTAGAGTTGGACTGCAAGCTAAAGTGGTGTTTTATACTTCAAAAATTTCAATGTGGAGTTAAAGTATTACAGAAGTGCCTCCTTGGTGCTGTCAGATGGCAGCTGTTTTCTATATGCATCTGGTGTGCAACATATGAAAAAAAAGGACAGAGCTATGGTCATCTGCTCGTAGTTGCCATGTTGACTTCTCTTCAAGCCCTTATTACAAGCATACATGTTTCATATATTTTTTTTTTGTTCTGAGGGAGATGGTCCCAAGTTGTCTATGTGTGCCTTTCATGAGAGGACTTCTTTCCTTATTTGTTACAGGCTCTTCAGTGACTGGTGGTTGGAGTGTTAGCTTAAGAGGTGGTCAATAAATGTATAAAATATATTAAAATATTTTTTGAGGTAAACAATCTTAAATTCAAATTTTAATTGTTCATATGACTCCATTATTACTTCTGCTTGAAGAACATTGAAACTTGAAAGCTTATCTAGGATTTAGGTAATTGTATGTCTCCTTATAAAAAGCCCCATCTATCTTCTAGTGTTGGCCTGTTTGTGACTTTGAAACTCAATCCCTAGTGGGATGTAAAGGACTTAAACTCTGTGCTATTGGGAACATAAAAAGAAGCTAAACCACAAGGAACCCAAACTACAATTTCAGTTTGTGCTGTATTTAAAGAAGCAGAAAATGTGTCTCTCCTTTGCTCTATCTTCCATGTGTTCTAAGTATCTGTCTTACCACAATTCAGTTTTGGACTGAAACCTTGGAAAGGAGCATGTAGATGTGTGCAGGTGTGGAATTTAAAACTGAACAAAATTAAGTAGTTGGCTGTACTGTAATACATTGTCCTTATCTTTTTATGCAACTATGTGCTGTAAAGTTTTATTTTTCACCTTTTTCACATTTATTTTGTAAATAGCTTTTATGTGTGTAACATATGATAAAGAGTTTATAAGGATTTTTAAGGGGAGTGGGGGAAGCCCAAGACTTTTTTTTTTTCCTTTTTAAAATGCAAGTTATACAACAGCAGATATTTTGGGTTTTTTTTTTTTTTTTAGAAAAAAACAAAACTTTCTTGCATGGTTTGTCCCTCTTTTCATCTTTATGTTGTATAATATATATGGTCAAACAAAACAATTCTGCTTTAAACATAGCTCCAAAATTACAATTATATATATATTGGAAATAAACTGTCTTATTCAGAAAACAAGTTTGCTTACTTATTTAAAGCATAAGCTCTAGCTAGTAAAACACACTATGGATTAATAGTGTTGAAGGTATGCTATTAGATGTGATTTATTTGCATCAATTACCAATTATCCATAAGCAGAAGTTTAACAAAAGAAAGTTCTCTTCACACTCCACTGTAATACATTAAAAAAAATAAACATACTGTGAGATCCCTACTATGTTAAATTATGCAGCTCCCACACATTACACAGTTGATATTTTTCCTGCACGTATATGAAGCATTAGTGAATTATATCAGGCACTGAAACTGTACATAATCATGGGAACTCTCTTCTTGTAGCTTCAGAGGGTTTATCAAACATCAATAAAGTTTCAAGATTATTTTGTAACAATAAAATGCAGAAAATTGTTAATAGTAACAGCAAGTCAATTTTACTATTAATCTAAATAGACAGAATTTAGATGTGAAAAATTTTTAAGATATAATCTGGAATAAGCTTGGAGGACTAAATTAGCGTGCAAGGATGCATTTCTCCTTTTTCCACTTTTGATCCTTTTTTTTTTTTTACTTGCTCTTCATCTTCTGCTTATATTGCAGTCTATCTTCCTTTTCTTGAGCTCTCGACAGAGCAGCATGGATGTTACAAAAATGAGGGCATGACATAATGTGCTCGTATCTCTCCATCTAAGAGCTTAGAAAAAAGAAAGTGGGCTGTACATCATAAAAGATAAACCCTCCTCTTCTGGTAAGCTCCAAATCTGGAAATCAGTCAATAAGAAGTGACAGTATAAAGAATATCGTGTTTATACAGTTTATACACTCCGTGAAAGGTGCACATAAGAACAGCTTAGTATTTAACATGCTAATTTATAAACTAATTTAAAGCTAAGAATTATAAATTAAATAGAAATACAGTGTAGAATTCCTTCCTATAGCAGGAGATGGTCTGCATTCAGTCCTGATTGCTGCCAAGATGTCACCTCTGGGCCAACTTTCCCTTCTTTACCTTTAAGCCAGCCTGGAATGATCTCTCAAGACCAAAGACTTCTTCAAACAGAGGTCACAGCTACTCTTGTTCCTGTTTCATCTGCTCAACTTCTTTGGTTGTATGGAATCCAGAAATACTTGCCTCTAAGCAAAACTGTAAATCACACTTTTTAAAAAAGAATAACCCTTAAAACTGTAAATCACATCCCTTTTTTTAAAAGGAATAAACCCTTAAGAAATAAACCCTTAAGAAAAGTGTTATGGGGAGGAAAGAGTATTTTATTAAATTCAGACACTCTCCTAGGAAACACCAGAAATAGAAAAAAAGGAAAATTAAAGGAAAAAAGCAACCTTCCTTCATTTGGAATTTCTGACAAACAAAGATCACAGTTGTCACAGAAGAAAACATGGCATAAACTTTATACATAGGACTCTACCTACAATTAGCAGAAAAGATTTACAAAACTTACAGTGTATTTCAGACTGCTTGTTTCAGTAACCAGTTTTGGTATGGTGGCTTTTTTTTTAATAGAGTGGTCTTCTATTGTTTTTGTTTCCCTTTTAAAAAAAACAGTACATAATGAAATCCATGCAAAAGATATGTCATCAATCCTTCATACACAGTGCTCAAAGATTTCTGTTTTACTTTTTTAAACCTTTTTTTAAAGTGCTTAAAACAACAACCAGACAAGTAAAGCGAGGCTCATGGCATGCAGTGGTGATCGCTTCCCCCACAACACACACATATACCCATTACATCAAAAGTACATGCATAGCTTGGTGCTTTGTAACTTATATCTTTAAATTTTACACACGCGCGTGCACACACACACACACACACACACACACAAAGTTTATTTTAAATAAAATGAAAGCAGACTTATTTGTGAAAGTTAATTTACTGTGTTGCTCATTTGATACGTACAGACATTGTGCCATGTACAATGCAATCTTAAAGGACAAGTGTATATTTTAGGACAAGTGAAAGGATCTAAAACAGAATGGTTCTGGAGATCACTGCCTTCCCACTTACTGGTTTTTAAAGCTGTTTCAACAAAGGTTATTGGCAGGATCTGTTAACCTGATGATCATGCGCTTCAATTTTGCCTGAAGGAATTCTTTGTCCAAAGTGACCTATATGCAGCACCTCCTGGTAGGAAGTGGTCATTTAGCGCCTTGCAGCTATAGTAGTCACTTCCCATGTGGGTTAGTTGGGGTAGATGGAGTTAATAAGTGGTTTGTAAAGACTGGGAGACTGGGCATTACTGGAATCTGTTTATATGCAAGGTTGCTACATGGTTATGGCTTTGCTATATCCCAGAGAAGAAAAGTTATTTGAGTGCTACCTAAGCTTTTTATGATTCTTTCATTATACTCTTACAGAGACTTCCTAGTGACTTTGATTCCTAACTTGTGATGACATAAAATATCAATTGAACTTTAAAAATGCTGCAGTTGCAAAAGTTTCAAAACTCAGTTTGCTTAACACAGGCTGAAAAATACTTATTCTTTTAAACGAAATCCAATAAAAATGAACTGAGACAGATGAAGAGCATTTGAAATACTGTGTAAGATGCTGAAATCATATACTGTAGAGAATTTGTTCTTCCCTTTCCACATCAACAAAGATGAGAATTAAAGAGCTGCACTTAGTCATTATGAATCCAAAAATGATGGCTTTTTTTCTATGCATTGCTGATAAATTATTGCAAAACAAGAGAAGGGTCTATCCATTTTTTCTACTTTGAAAAAAACATTTTCATACCTGCCTTTCAGGAGATCCTTTCTTACCATGGACTCCCGCTACATGTTGCAAAGATTTCCTAGAACATTTTAAATGAATACTATAGTGAATTTGAAGGAGACTACAGGATGGACAAGCTTATTTGTTGGCATCAGCATGAACTGAGTATGCTAGCATTCCCCAGACTGTGACTTTCGGGAGGTTTAATCCCACCTGGCTCAGCTCACATGATCCTCCATCAAAATGACTCGGAATTATGTGATTTGTAGTACACTAGGGAAATTTTGGTGAAATTCACTGTGGTTCTCCAGAATACAGTTTGAAAACCACAATTCCAAAAATGCTGGATTGGAGCAAGGCTTGAATCAAATGATACTAACTTTCTATTATAGCACAATTAATTATTGGGTCACTTAAAAATAGCAAACAGATTTTATTGTTTTGGACTGTAAACAACTAGGTTATTTTAAGTCAGGCCACTGGCTTACCCGCACAGTAGAATATTCAAGTCTGTGTCAGGCAAGGATATTCCCAGTGCTGTTCCCCATATTCCTTTGAGCAAAAATGCCTGAACTTAAGCCTGGGGCTCTGGGCAAGGCAAGGCACACAATTTATGTCAGAGTTGTTGAGAGTTCTGCTTCATGAACCTAAACTAAGCAATAGCTGTATCTGTTCTCAGCAACAAAGGACTAGTTTAGTTTTCAAAAAATATTTTAGTTTGGGACCAGCATTAGTATGCTACTCAGAGGAAATATGCCAATTTATATATAAAGATTAAAAGAAAATGCTTTTGAATACATTGAAGAGAAATATATATGTTATGCTGGCATATCCATCATTGAGAATGTGTATTCACTAACACTTCATAAAGTAAACTAAGCATTCTGTAACATAATTTGCAACTTCAGTACTCTCTTTTGGATAAATATCTTCTGTTGATGCTGCAGAGGAATTTTAAATCATGATAATGGTTACATATGTATGAAAAATGAAGTAATAAAATTAGTCTATAAAATGGTGTAATATAGTAAAATTATGCCATTTAAGTTTTTTTCATGCTGAATAGCATGATTTGAATTTTCAAATATTTACCCAGACTAATGATATAGCATAGTGCAGCATAAACCATGTTGGAAGTATGCATCTGTTGGACATTTCCTGGGGGGAGGGGGAATACTTGTTTTTCCAATTTTTTTAAAAAAAGATGCATAGGCACAATCCAGTTTGTGTTTGCCCAGTAATACTAAAGGCTAATATAAAAAAATTAAAGCTAATGCCAAAAATCAGGTGTTTTTCACTCCTTATGGAATGCCGAGCATTAGATAGCAAACACTCTTATTGGGAGCTCTTTCTGAATGAGAGACGAAGAGCCAAGATGCTCCAAGGACTTCCCCTTAGGGCTGATTAAGTTAGTCCTAACCCTAAAATGTTAGGCAAGCTTTTGGCATGGAAGCAGGTTTGGAGGTTGAGAGAAGGTGGCCCTTTTGTAGTTTTAAACTAAATTTTTAGTTACATTGCTGTTTTAATTATTTGTGTTGGCTGTCCTGAATAATAGTCACTGGCAGAAATATTATGCATGTATCATTTAAATACAGAAAATAATTTGGCCTAAAGTCTGATTGTTGTCAATCTATCATTTCCAAGATAATGTTTCCTTATCTTATTTTCTAAGAAATTGTTTTATTTGACTACAAGGTAATACTTTACAGTGGGATAAGTATAAGTAATCTTCTGAAGCCACTTTGTTCTGTTAGTAAGTAAGTTTAGTCTTTATACAAGAACTTCTGAGATCTAAGGACTTCTCACTATGAAGTATTTTTTTTCCAAATGAAGACATGTATTGCCTCAGATCCATATGTCTTATCTTAAAAGTTGGCCAGAGATATATTTCTCAAATATGTTTTTCTTAGGGTTTTGAATCAGAAGGAGTAACAATCAGAACTAATAAATATTTATAAAAGATATAAAAATATACACTCGGTTAAGTGAGCTGTAGTGCACAAACATTTATGCTTTTTACAGTAATAACATTTGTTAATCTGGAAAAGGATTATCAGACTCCTGATATTTAGCTACTACAACACAGTTGTCCTCCTACAATGTCTACAATCCCAAAGGTATGGAGTTGCTTGAACCTCCTACTTTATTTACTAGTAAAAATATCTAGTAATGCCACTTGCCACTGAATTTGAATTTGAGGAATTAACCCCTGGAAAACATCTTTGTTATATTAAGGGTTCATTATCTTAAAGATCATAAAGGTAAAGTCTCCTTAAAATTTAGGTTA